GGTGCGCGAGAGAAAACGAACAATGACCGATCAGGAAGAAGATCACTATCCCGAAGGAGATCGAATATGAACTGCCAAGGACAAACGCACGTGTTCATAAATCTGACCGACGCTGTCAACCACGGTAATGCAGGCAATGAACGAACCTAGGAGAGGATCACGATGACCTGCTTTTAGGTGCCACGTTCCACGATTCTCCAAAATTGCTAAATGGGATTGGATCTCTCACTAGGACATGGGAAGCTACAGTGCCACTGTACCCTGCGGCTTCTCTACCGCTCTTTCTCTTCCCCCTCCATCTTCTTTTTCGACCTCACCCTTCATGACCTTCTCTTTCCTTTACCTCGCCTCCTTCGCCTCTTTGCTCACTCATCTCGATGCCCCACAAATGTCCTCTTCTCATCCTCCTTCGTTACTCTCGATGCTTAGCATAGCGTCACTTCTAGCAACGGACCCGCCCGCAAACCGGGGCAGATATGCTTGCAGAAAAGAAAAGAGGGGAACGATCGTAAACAAATAGTAATAACAATAATAAATAATGGTCAAATAATAATAGAGTAATAATAATAATATAATAAATGTATACTCGCTACTTTCCTATATGAATCTGGTGCAAAAAAGTGGAAATATACATTACCTTTTTTTTTTTTTTTTTTGTGAGAGAGAGATTGAGAGAGAGTCTTACCTGGGCGCACACGTGTTACACTGATGAATCCAGCGAGTTGCTTGCCCGGGTTGAAAGGCCCGGGTAACCTTCTTAAGGCTCATTGTGACGGGGATAGATTGTTGTAATCAATGTTCTAGACCACACGCGTCCCACACTAATGAGCCCGCGATTTTGCTCATCCTATTCGATAGACGTAGGACATGTTTGTCGCGACTCATACACACTCTCTCTCACGCACACACACAGACACACACACACACACACACACACACACACACACACATACACACACACACACACACACACACACACACATACACACACACATGACATTCCCGTGGGCGAGCCGAGGCAAAGACACAGCAGCGGGTGAGCCCAAGTGGAGAGATTCATCAACTTTGTCTCTCCTCTCGGAGGGAAAGCGTGATGGCGGCCGGCGCAAGCGGCGACGTATATTTCCATGTTGATTTTGCTCCTCATCTCGGATCGATTCCCTCTTGAACATGGTTGGTAATGTACTCTACTTTGTTTTAGCGGTAGGTTCATTAGATTGAACTCATTCTATCGATGGAAGTAGGTGAGGTCACCGTGAGGTAGAGAGCACACATACCCATGCACATTCACATATATGAATGATAATGTATATTCACTTGTTTCAGCGGTAGATACATTCGCCTTAGCCAACATTGGATTCTTTTTTATTTTGTTCTTCCTCCTGATAGAAGTTTTATGGAGTAAACCGCGGGATTGGAGACTTACCTTCTCTCTCTCTCGCTTCACAGCACGATCCGACACGAAGCTCCACATACTGCGACCACACCACGGACACGATGGG